AACACAGTATGGGTGAAGATGGTGGCTTCTGCGGTTTTTGCTGTACATTGCTGATATTTGAGCTTTTAACAAGTGAGTGGGCATTTTTTTATCTATTAAAGAGGCTGATTTATACAATAATACTGCACTATGAAGGATCTTTTTTTCACTTATCATGGTTCATGGTGAGTGATATATCTAGCTGGTGAAACTGTCCTGAGAGGTCTTGAGTATTGATCACTAACCTGAGAAGCAGGGGCAGACTGACCATTTGTAAACTCGGGCACTGCCCGAGGGCCTGGGGTCAGTAGGGGGCCCCATGAGATGCCCCTGGTAAATTTTTCATAGGCTTTTTTGAGTTTGGGCAAGGACACAGGGGCCCCATGATCCCCTATTGCCCGGGGCCCCATGAGTTGTCAGTCCACCCCTGCTGAGAAGGGATCCATAGAAGGAGTACTAACCATTACTGCAGAAAGATCTAGGAATGATCTTGGAGGCTTAGTGGCCCTTTGGGTCGCAGATTGAAGGTGAGGGGGCATTTTAGCCACAAGAGGATAAGTGTGTTGACACCATCACAGAAAATCGTCACTTTGCATCACTTTGCATGAGTTATTGTTGAGTGGAGCACTAATTTGTAGGATTTATGAACTTTAATTTTCAATGGAAAGTTATCTAAAGTTATATATTTATATCTAAGTTGGTCACTTTATTGTGTTCACTGATCACTTTACGTGTGTGGTTTATGCATTATATATGGGGGGTAGTTTATATTGATACACATGTTGATGGATCATTAAGGCACAGGTCCTGAAGTTTATATCAGGACTGTAGGTCACATATTTGCTGAACACTTGTATTTGTAGCACATTGTGGCACTTTATTTATTTAATTGTATATATATTTTAGTGTGTTGTCACTTCATTTAGTCACATGTGTGGATTATTTACTAAATTATATTATTTGATGTTGGGATAGTATTGTAGTAGCGCTGCACTATATCATTTATTTATTCTGGAGAATGTAGTGGACAATCTGAAGAGAGGGAGACGAAAACTTGGTGTGGATGGGGTAGGGGGCTGAATAGGAAAGAGAAACTGCAAGACTGAGCAGCCCATATGCAAACCCACAAATACTTTTAAATACAACAGTCCTTCTTCGAATTATTATACTTGCCACTCTGCCAGTCAAGGTCTTCCATAATTAAACACGAAGTTCCCTTCCTTATTATCCTTCATATTAAAATTGTGCGGAAACTTCCCATTTTCAGCCATTCCAGGTTATAAATTCCAACATGAAAGCCTCCTTTTCTTTTCCATCCCATTTTTGTACCATCGCAAACAATATGTTAAATTGCGTAGATTACTCTTTTCCGTAATTGTAAACAATCTCCCATTGGTTTTGATTTGCACTTTCGCATGCAACAATAAACTTCACATGGGAGAAATGAACTTCTGTTTTATGTTACCCAAGAGCAGTTTTTTGACACGATGCTAGTCAAGCTTCTGAAGCGCATTTATATACAAACTGAAAGAATAATGGATTCCTGAAAATTGAACCAAAAATTTCATCTCTACTTAGAGGTTCCAAGCCAAAGTTAACATTAGAATAGCTGGCAATATGTTGCTATGTCAACATAATAAAGTGATGCTAAAACACACAGAAGCCTCTTTATTCGTTCAGTTAATATGATCTCAGAAAATAGTTGAGGACAAACTCGGAGCTCCATTCAGGGGCCACATGTAGTAAATTAGCCTTGAACTATGAAAATGTCACATAAACAGTTATCTACTAATGATTGTTTTTATAACATCTAGGGGGAATGGAGCATGGCCAGACTGCTGAATGCATGGAAAACTAGAACTATATTAAGATATAAAGATAGAACCCGAAGAGACTCGTATTGAAATGCCACCACCGTACCACAATTAAAGAGGTGAAGGTTTAGAGATTTAGGCAGTTGTCTATTTTGATTTAATGCATGATTAAAGCTTGTGGAGGCAAGGCATTTCATATTTATCCAACAATTAGAGGAATCTAATAAAAATAAAAGTTTGATTTATTTTAAAGGTTTTTGCAGCATTCGCATTCATAAGCAAGACCAAGTACGAAAGGTCAAAATTAATATTACTCCATTCTGACAGTTTTGCTTAGGTAGCAGTTAAGGGGGGTAATCCAAACTTTTCTTTATTTCCTTCAACATTTTGGGAGTTTTCATTGACGTTTTAGAGAAACCAATAAAGCACATATGCCAAACATGAGGCCTGCATGGATTGTCTTCAGTGCTGGCTTCCCCTTCTTTAAACTTCTTTATCTATCTGTGCACATTGCTCTTGCCAATGGTGTCACCTCCGTAAACACATGTGGATATCAGACAGTCTTCACCCCTCCTAGTTTTCATTGACGTTTTAGAGAAACCAATAAAGCACATATGCCAAACTTGAGGCCTGAAGGCCAAATTCAGCCCGCCAGACCATTTCATGTGGTCTTCACACCTCTTCTGCACCTCCCTCATCTCCACCCTCCAACCTGTCAACAGAAAAGAGGACAGAACTTCTCCCATGGATCCTGCTCCTCTTTGTGCAACCACAGCACCCTCTCATCTCCATCTCCGATGGTCTCAGCATTCCGCAGACTCCAGCAGCTAACTTCAGCCCTCCTCTGGTCCTTCTCCAGGCCCTGCACTTTTTGATTCCCAGCTCCACTCCCAGCAGCACAAAGTAAGGAAGGTGGGGGACTCTTGTTGACTTCTGCTGGTGGTGGGGCACTGGACATTTGGTCTTACTGATACAACTGGCCCTTTGAGGGCAATCACAATGCTGATGTGGCCATCACATTGAATTGGACACCCCTGCAATAAAGAGTAATTTATCCATCATTTGTGTCATTGCTAGAAATATGAGGGCTGTACCAAGAGTACTGCAATAGTGGGCATAACGTTCAAGTCGTTCAAGTCTCAAATGTTGGTAAAGCATCTTCTTTTTTTTCACTGCAGGTAATGAATGGATTCCAAGCAGAAGCAATGTGACATCATTGAGTCCTTCACGAAGAAGGGGTGCAGGCTGTCTGACATTGATGGTCTTCCACTGCATGGATTGTCTTCAGTGCTGGCTGCCCCTTCTTTAAACTTCTTTATCTATCTGTGCACATTCCTCTTGCCAATGGTGTCACCTCCGTAAACACTCTTTATGTGGATATCAGACAGCCTGCACCCCTCCTATAAAACGTTGTGAGGAGGTAGGGGAAAGCTTACCCTGAGTGGAGCTCAGAGTTGGATTTTATGAGGTCAGAAGGTTAGGAAGGTCAGATTAGTGTTCAGATGAGGGAGACATCGGATAGAATTCCCACCATCCAGCTTCTTACATTGTTGGTTCAGGACTGGGATGTATGGTACTGTTTATTGATAAGGATTGCATCCAGGCAGGGGATCAAGATCCTTGAAGGCAAGACATTTATTCAATGTTTAATGGAGAAAGGGCTGCGGTATCAACTGTCTGATTTATTAGTTGGTGTTTCTCACACCTTCCAAATTACCAGTAACAGTAAAGGGTTGTTGTCTCAGTTATAGTTTTTGTTTATGATTGAAATTGAGTCAGGACTGTATCGGCGGTGGTTACGGTGAAAAATTCCCCGAGGTCAGTGGGTTTGTGTATGGGTGCCTCCTTTCATTTGCCTTCAGAAGCAGCCTGTTTTCCAGAACAAATTATATTCTGGTCTATTGTCTTTGATAATGAGTTTTTAATAGTGACTATTGCTGTTTAATAAAAAGGTTGCTCAGATTCAGCCCATGGTGCAGCCATTCTCAACGAGGGTACTGAGGAACCCTAGGGTTCTTCTGAAAGTTGCTAGGGGTTCCTTGAGCTTTGGTTAATGGATCTCCCATTTGAGTGTAGCACTACCCTTGCAAGGGCTTCTGGGTTTGATTGGGTCCTCCTAAGCCCTGCACAGCCAGGCAACAGTCCTTGAGCTGGTTTTTCTTAAGTGATTAACGACCTGGATGGGGTCAAGGGGTACATGGGATGCCCAAGGAACTGTAGAACTTGAAGACAAACTTCTTAGCAGCTATGTACAAAAAGAGTGGACTGGCAAAAATAAAGCACTGTCCCATTTTCAGTGTACCTCCTCAGACTGTGGATGAATCATCCTCTTAACCCAACTGTGCTGAGGGTATCCCTGAACAAGGAGGTCCAAAGAGCTTGCAGGTAAGCAGTCCCAGGTGAAGACTGGTTGAGTATTGCACCTGACCGCCCTTTCCCTTTATCCGGCCCAGGGGGTGGAGGAGTACTCACACTGTCCTGTCCTGTCAGCATGGTGGGATGGTTGCTGCTTTCAGGCATTTTGCTGGGCTGGCTCCTTCCCTACTTCTCCGGATGTCCTCCCCAGGAGACAGTGGAGATCCTACCATCCAGCAACCAGCCTGTAGGTAGACTCCCCACCCTTTGGCCCCCTCCCAGGCTCCACACTCCAGCCTTCTCTCTCAATCCCCTCTCTCCCCAGACTTTGTCATATTTGAGGGTTGCCCTGGTCATGATGCTTAGCCACCTGCCATGAAATTGGACAAGGTCCCTCAAAAATGCAGATCTGGGCCTCCTCCCCTGTTTCAGAAAGTTCTCCAATTTCTGCAAGGGTGGGAGGATTTAGAAGCCCTGACCTGTAGAACCTGGTGGCCTCCCACCTCACTCCCAGGCTAACTCATCCCAGGCTGCTAAACAGCCCCATCTAAAAAAAAAAGAAAACAACAAACCTTATCTAGTTAATCTGGAGGTTGTTACATGAGAAGGCTTGCATAATTCCAGGTCCAATGCTACTTGAAAGAGTCAGTGGCATGGCACCAATGACACCAATGATCTTTTTCACTAATGGTGGAAATCTGGCCACCTCTGTAAGGAGGGCAGTATTTCTACTAATCACCAACGTAAGAAGCATTTTACCCCGGAAACCCAATTAATTGGTTTTAGCAGAGTTTCCCTGAGACCTGAAAATTAGTATTATGGTTCCTTTAGGGTAAACTGGTGGGCCTCCAGCTGTTGCCGAACTACAAGTTCCATGAAGCATTGCAAGATTGACAGCTACAAGCATGACTCCCAAAGGCAGAGGCATGATGGGACTTGTAGTTTTGTAACAGCTGGAGGGCCGCCAGTTTGACACCCCTGGTTATACCGGGATGATGCCTTCAACTAAAGGCATCATCCCGGTATCTTTGTTTTCAGCCGGCGATGGACTGTTTTTGTAAAAGCGATCCTAGCGGCTAATTAGACTAGTAGTTTCGCAACAGCTGGAGGGCCACCAGTTTGACACCCCTGCTCTAGGGTAAAAAGGTTGGGAAAGGCTGCCTTAATGGTTACGTTAAATGTAGAGTGACCTGGTTTTGGGCTAATAAAAGAGCCAAGGTCATCTACGGTAGCCCCGTCATAGTAGACGATTTTGGATTCCTTTAAGCTCACCATAACACATCTGGCTATACCCTTCTGTAGGATTGCTTGGCTGATGGAAACAATGATAAGATGATGAATTAAACAAGAATAATTCACACACTGACATTTTATTTTGCCTGTCCTCAAGCTGTCCATACACAACATGCTGCTCACTTGTTTTATCTCATTTTGTAACTTTTTCCATGCCAAGGATTGCACTCAAACTGTGTATGGTATTATAAACGACCTGCTGAAACCCGTGATTAATGAGTCTGAGAAAATCTGCTCCATCCACGAATATGTGGACGGCAGACTGAAAGTCTCGGTGCTGAGTGATTGTTTACAATATATTTGGCATGTGTAGCAGACTAGTAAACTCCCCTCCATAAGGATCAGCACAAAAGGGTTGAAAGTTGAAACTTGTTGCAACCGTTCGTTTCCAAAAATCCACAGGGCACACACGTCATACTGGAGCAAGTGCACGCCACAAGAGGCCTCCTACCTCATCTCAGCGATGTTCTGGGTCTGATCCAATTTTTGCAGTATATGGTTCTTCATGCTCATACTTGACTTGCCCGGTTGCAGGGTTGGATCTAGGGAGGAGCCAGGGTAGGCTGCACCTATCCCTGAATTTGATCACGCCCCCCAGGACCAGTGGCATCAACATGGCAAACCCTAAAATGAGTCTGAAGCATTGAAGGCCAGCCCAACCGAGCACAGATGAAGCACGGCAGTCACTGCCAGTGTATTGTTCAACCCAAGGTCAGCTCCAAGAGGATGTGGAAGGACACATTGTTCGGCATGGCCCCACCTATTAAGAGTATGTGAATGTCTTGGAGGATTTACTCACTGTTGTGGGTGGGACCAGGCTGTACAACCCTCCTCCTACCCTGGCTGTTGTGTGCACTTCAGATCTACCACACTGCTAGACGTGAGTGGCAGAGGCAAGACAAGGTGCTGCCCACTGCCCAGACTGGTCCGTTTTCTCCGGCCAGGACTTGGAAACCTCAATGGACAGTTACAGTGAGCTACTGCTGAGATCTATACTGGTTACTGCTGGGGGCACTGAGATCTGTACTGGTTACTGCTGGGTAAACTGAGCTCTGTGTTGGTCACTGCTGTGGACACTGAGATCTGTATTGGTCACTGCTGGGGCATTGAGATCTTTATTGGTCACTGCTGGGGGCACTGAGATCTGTATTGGTCACTTCTGGGAGCACTGAGATCTGTATTGGTCGCTTCTGGGGGCACTGAGATCTGTATTGGTTACTGCTGGGGGCACTGAGCTATGTATTGGTTACTGCTGGGAGGAACTAAGATATGTATTGGTTACTGCTGGTAGCACATAGATCTGTACTGGTCACTACTGGGGGCACAGAGATCTGTACTGATCACTGCTGGGGGTGTGAGATGGGGAAACAGCTCTCTTTATTTGAACACTGTTTGTGTGGAAGTAAATTAATGTTTTGACTGACATTCTGCGGTTTAGCCACAAGATGTCGCTGTTTTTCTAGCACAGCCTCATACTGCATAGAGATTTCTATATTCATGAAGAGGTGGGGTTTTGCACACCGAGGAGAGAGAGAAGCCATGTTTTGGAGCTTGGTGAATAAGGGGCCGTGTGAGCTGAGAATCTGATGACATGCAGGTGTGAAAGCATCCCTCAGTAACCAGAGATTGCTGCCAGGAATGCTGATGAGATTGCTGCCAGGAAGCTGATGAGATTGCTGCCAGGAAGCTGATGAGATTGCTGCCAGGAATGCTGATGAGATTGCTGCCAGGAAGGCTGATGAGAGCAGAGGAACTAAGCAAAATATACGGCAAGACCGCATGCTTGTTGGAGAGACATTTGTTCTGTTCAGAGTCACCAGCAGATGCAAAGCAGACCCGGGACGGTAAAATTGTGCACACACCTCATTTCAGTGTTGGTGCCTTGAGACTGAGTCCAGGCCTATAGTTAGTTAGTTAGGGTCTCTGTTTGTGTCAGGCCACAAGTGTTGTTACAGATCATTGGAAGGACTCCACAGCTTAAAGTGACATTTCACATTGGAGAGCTGATAAACTCCTACAAACTCAAGCCAGTCTGGCGTTTTGCTCAGAAGGAATACTCAGGCACGTGCTACAGGACCAGTTATGGGAGGGGGGAATACTGTAGATTTGTGTAAGATTGTAAGCTGTTGTGCTGCACCGCAGGCTAGCCCATACCGTACACCCATACACTGATTCCTGCTCTTTTAGGGTAATAAACGGGTAAGGTGTGGCAGCTTAGTTGTGCCCTCCAGTAGGTAAATTACTTCACTTTCTACCTTCATCCATCAGGAGGCGCCGTGCTGTGCAGCACAAGGGTCTCAGCCTTTGGGCTGGGTGTATGTAAATTTATTGTATGTTTCCAGCATTTGTGGTTGTGTTTATTTGCCACATCTAAGTAAAATTCTGTTGTGGCAAAAGCTGGTGTTGGGGTTGCTTTCCTCGTTCGTGACTTCACTGTATCCTGGGGAGCCCACCCCGGCACATGGCTTACAGGGGCACAGAGATATGTACTGGTCACTGCTGGGGAAACTGAGATCTGTACTGGTCACTGCTGGGGGCACAGGGATCTGTATTGATTACTGCTGGGGACATTGAGATCTGTACTGGTCACTGCTAGGGACACAGATCTATACTGGTCACTGCTGGGGACACTGAGATCTGTACTGGTCACTGCTGGGGACACAGATCTGTACTGGTCACTGCTGGGGACACAGAGATCTGTACTGGTTTCTGCTGGGGACACTGAGATCTGTATTGGTCACTGCTGGGGACACAGATCTGTACTAGTTACTGCTGGGGACACTGAGATCTGTACTGGTCACTGCTGGGGACACAGATCTGTACTGGTTACTGCTGGGGACACAGATCTGCACTGGTTACTGCTGGGGACACAGATCTGTACTGGTTACTGCTGGGGACACAGATCTGTACTGGTCACTGCTGGGGACACTGAGATCTGTTCTGGTTTCTGCTGGGGACACTAAGATCTGTACTGGTCACTGCTGGGGGCACTGAGATCTGTACTGGTCACTGCTGGGGGCACTGAGATCTATATACCCTCACCGGCCTCTTTATTAGGTACACCTGTTCAATTGATTGGTAACACAAATTGCTAATCAGCCAATCACATGGCAGCAACTCCATGCATTTAGGCATCTAGACGTGGTGAAGACGACTTCCTCCCCTACCAGGCCATTCTTTGCGTTACGGCGCTGCGTTACTGTAACTGACAATTGCGCGGTCATGCAACGCTGCACATAAATTTACGTCCTTTATTTCCCAACGAATGGAGCTTTCTTTTGGTGATATTTGATCACCACTGAGTTTTTTTTATTTTTTGGGCAAAAAAAAACAGATCGACAATTTTAAGAAAAAAAACAATATTTTTGATTTTTTTAGCTATTAAACGCATCCAGTCAAAAAATGTAAAAAACTAATTTCGGCATAAATTTCTTCCAAAATGTATTCTGCTCCGTGTCTTCGCTAAATAAAAGAATATGTTACAAATGGCGGTATATATACTGGGGGGGTTTTTACTACTAATGGCGGCGATCGGCGACTTATAGCGGGACTGTGGTGGGCATTCTGACACTGGGGGGGGGAACTGACTAACTGCCACTGACATCCCCAGTGACACCAATACAGTGATCAGTGCTAAAAAAAAATCACTGACACTGTACTAATGGCACTGGGCAGGAAGGGGTTAACATGTGGGGCGATCAAAGGGTTAACTGTGTGTTTTACTAGGGAGCAGGGGCGGACTGACCATTTGTAAACTCGGACACTGCCCGAGTGCCCGGCGTCAGTAGGGGGCCCCATGAGATGCCCCTGGTACCTTTTTCATAGGCTTTTTTGAGTGTGGGCAAGGACACAGGGGCCCCATGATCCCCTATTGCCCGGGGCCCCCATGAGTTGTCAGTCTGCCATTGTCAGTCCGCCCCTGGGTACTAGTTAGGGTCCTGATTAAGGCATGTGTTAGGGTCAGGTTAAGGGTTGGATAAAGGTCAGGGCTCTTTGAAAGGTGTTAGGATCAGGTTATGGGTTACGTAATAATAATTAGGGGTCTGGCGAAAGAGAGATACAAAGCAGCATGTCCTTGTTGACAGGAGAGAGATCTGTGTTGTTTACATACAGACCTCTCCCCTGTCAGTTTCTCGGTGATCGCCGGATGCCGGCAGGGAATCTCCATCTGAGACCACAAGGGCTTGAAATAATTGTGTGTACTATTGTAAAATTAATTGTAAGCGTATTCTTTTTTTAATTTATTATTTGATTAATAGTTGAGCAATATTGTGCAATATAAAAAAAAATATAAAATTTTTAAAAATGTGAACGCCATCATTTTTTTCTAAGCATAATAGTAAAATAATGTTACCTATTTATTATTATTATTATTAACAATAATAATATATAGACTATATAATAATATGTGGGCAGCACGGTAGCTAAATGGTTAGCACTTCCACCTGGTAGCACTAGGGTTGTTGGTTCAAATACCAGCCACGGCACCACCTGCTTGCATGTTCTCCCTGTGACTGCGTGGGTTTCCTCCAGGTACTCCGGTTTCCTCCCACCCTCCAAAGACATGCCGGTAGGTTAATTGGCTCCTGTCTAAATTGTCCCTAGTATGTGTATGTATGAATGAGAGTTAGGGACCTTAGATTGTACCCCCTTGAGGGTTGAGGGTACTCCCCTTTAGGGACCTTAGATTGTACTCCCCTTGAGGGTTAGGGACCTTAGATTGTA